TGATGAGATGTAAGGTGCATTAAACTCCAGAACTAAAATGAATCAAGTGACCAAGTGCCAAAGACTGTAGTTCCTTTAATGGCCATTTAAGGCTCTACAAACGAGTCAGTCCTCATAGTCTGCCTGCCCACAGATGCTAATCTACAGTGGCCCTGAGTCAAACACACTGCAATTTCAGTTAAATTGCATTGTGTTTTATTTAACTGAAGTGATTTTGAGGAGATTATAACGTGATGGAACAGCTGTGGAAGGGACCGGCTAGCAGTAAATAGCTAATGGTGAATATTTATCTACAGTATTATATGAATATCATTAAAAAGCACATTACCAGCATCATTTTATTCCTCACAACACTGATGAACCCTTTGCTTCTTACATCTCTTTGTGCAGTTCTTTGCATACTTTGGTTTCTGGCACTCCCACAGCTGTTTTGTCACCTTAATGTCTCCCCAAAAACACTCCTATTTTGTGTTGCCTGTTGATTTTGGTTCTTTTGTTTGTTTGTTTGTTTTTTACTTCTATTGTGTTTTGTGTGCTTCCGGAGTATTTTTCTGTTTGCGGGTGCTTTCTTAAGTTGCATTGTGTTTGACCTCTCAGGCTCACCATACTTATCAGATAAATCCAGTGTATGAGTAAGGAACCCGTAGGGATGCAATAAACTTGCCGTTTGATCAGTATCTTGATGAATAAGTCTTTTGTATTTTTGTTGAATGCGTGTGACTAGGGACTGTGACGAAACCCAGCAACGTGCTTCCTTCTGCTCTTAATACATTATTTGTTTTGGAGTAAAGTTTCATCAGGCTTACTCATCTTGGCACTCTCTAAATTTTAAGTACTATACATTGGTTAATTTTAGTTAATGTACTTTTAATTTGTATCATATTTGCTAAATCTAGAATTTAAAATAACATTTTCTTCAAAATGTATTGCAATTTATTCAAAGTCACAAAAAACTTGTACCAAATTTAATACACTAGGCTTTAAAGGGTTAAAGCGCATCCAAGAGAAAGATGTAATCCACAGAGTGCCAGGTTCTCTCTCAGGACACTGCAGCCAATCAAACAGCATGAAGGAAAACACCATACTGATTCATTTATTCCTCTTACAGAGGGTTATACATTATAAAATCATATAATATCTCCCTCTCTTTCTTCACCCCTGTCCGCACACAGAGCTACAGACCAGTCGTTGTAAGAGCCACAGACATGTGCCAATAGTAAGAAGTAGAAATTAATTTTGTGATTCATTTAACTCAACTGTGGGTTTATTCCCACACCCATCCAGCTTTTAACACACAAAGTAAAAACGCCCCCAAAAGACCTCTACACATGTGATTGGTTAATAGGTTACCATGAGATCAAGTCTCTCTTGGTCACAGGTTCCTCCCGCTCAGTATCATTCAGTTGCTTTCCGCTTCCTTCCAGAAGTCAGCGGATCTCTCCAGCGCAGCAGTAGTTTGGTGAGTAAAAAACGATCATCTGTAGATGTGTAGCTGCTGTTGTGCCTTTCTACCAGACACAAACTCACTCAGAGAGTTAGTGTTACTATGTTGGTCATCTAATTTGCTCTCTTATAAAGTCAGATAAATTACATCTGATATAACCAGTTATTATAGTTTTTTGTTGTTGTTTTTTAAGGATTATTACCTCTAAGAAAAAACTGTCAAGTTTACAAGTTTCAGATGAAGTCCAAGTGAACTTGGATCTGAGTTGCTTTTATGTGTAAGACACACCTGAGCTCTTCAAACAGTCCTTTAGGTTTTAGAGGAGGGACTATAGCAGTCTGTTTGCTCACTGTGTGCCTTTGGAGTGTCAACCAGGAAGTCAATAAAATGTCTGTGAAATGAAACTCCAACTTAACACATGCATTACATACATAAAGAAAAATGTAACATCTTGGCTAATAATTCTGCTGGTTTATACTTCTTATTTTATGATCTTAACATTCTGGTTGAGTTCATTTTATGTGTATCTTTTTATAGTACATTCCTGGAAGCAGCAGAGTGTGCACGCAGCCACGAGGAGATACTAACTCTCAGGTGAACCCTTATGTCAGCGTAAATCTTTAGGTTTTTAATGTTTTTATTATCTGAGGTCTGGTATAACAACACCACCTACTATGACCTCAGTAATACCTTAGCGCTTAGCAAATCTCTTTTAAGCAAATATCTATTCTAGTTTTGTCATTATAAGCACATACAAAAATTAAATGTATATAGTCGACACTGAGGGACCCCTTTCCAATTAAGCGGATGAAAAAAAAAAAACTTTGAGAAGTTGGTTCTTTTCTTCACAAGTTGTTGCTGAAAGGAACGCCTCCACAGGCTGTTTGAGTAAATTATACACCACCAGCTCCCCCGAGTGTCCATTTCATCACACAACAAGCAACATATGGGAGAAAGATCGTACATGAATTTTGAACTTGTCTTTGGGTTTGAAAATTAAATTTTATTTAGAAGTTTTTACAAATAACAATTTTACTGGTGCTTGTAGAATTTTAATCTTCTGGCAGTTTTGAGTTTAAAATGATCAGATTTTCATACACACTGCCTCAGTGTCTTAAACAATGTTTTAATACATACTGTAGTGGAAAGACAATGGGATTTTTTTCCTCTCTTTCATAAAAACTGAAAATTTTATAATTTCTTAAAGCATATTTGGATATATGTGATTTTTTTTTCCGTTTTGTTTGATATTCATCTCATTTATTATGTTTTTGCTGTAGTTTTTTTGACACTTCACAAGTAAACGGGACCCTATTCTAGAAAATATGTTAAACAAAGTCTGCATATTAAAAAAAAGGAGAAAAGACAAAAAAACCCAACCTAATATTAAAGCCAGAAATCACACACATACACACACAGAGACAAAAAACCCCACCATAATTATTGTTTTTATTATTGTCTTTATTGCCAGAATACGCAGTTCTTCCTTTGAGTGACTAATGCACATTTATTATTCAAGTTTTAGCATTTATTCAGTGTAAGTTATGACTTGCTGAACATGCTGAGCATTATAGATCGCTACAATATTCGGCATAACAAGTTGGTTCTAATATCAAAATGTATCTCATTGTTACACTGCTGGGGAAGCGAGATTTGGAAATGTGGGAGGAACAACTCTGTTAAAACCATTCACCACAACAACTTAAAGTTATGTTTTTTACTTTAAGAAAACTTAAAGAAAAGTTACTTCAGTAAAAAAATTTTCTTTTTGTTTTTGTTAATGATTAATAGAAAGTTGAAGAATTCACATGTCTTTAAAAAATAGTGTCTGGAAGGCAAAATGAGCTAGCAGAATTTACATCCTTGATTTTTAAAATGACTAAAATGGCTAGATACGTCACCAGTGGGTAGTAAGAAGTTAATAAAACTACCTATACTATCAGCAGATGACTCTTGGCCTGCATTTATAAGAATGAACTGTTTTCCATCTTATGCATATGAATGCACTGATGCTGGATTTAGTGATGAGATTACAAACAACAAAAGTGGGATAAAGCCACACTCTTATAAACAGTATGGAGATGATAACTTGGCATCAATCTATAAAACAAAATCCATATGCGTTCCTAAAAGGGGTAAAGGGTTTGTTAGGAAGGGGCTTATTGAGTGTGAGTATAGAGAGGAGGAATTCCTACCATGACTCATAACTTCTCATTCATGTATTCTGCATTGTGCATCATATTGAAGCTATCCATATCTATCCTTGTAACACAATGATTTCTTTTCAGAATAAATCTGAAATCTGTGAACATGGCTCAGAAAAACATCAAAGTTGAAGTAAGTAGCCTATGTATTCTGTTGTCAGCGGCTAAATTGCATCACAATTTTTTGATCTGAGAGTAGTTTCTAATTGTTTTTGTTACATTTTCCAGTGGGACAAGTTGTAGTCACTTAAGCTCTTTACTTTCTGAAAATCCAGTGCAAATGCTAAAATGAAAAAGTGAAATTAGAAATTGCAGTAATGATGGCAAAGATTCCAAACAGTGAGGCCGGCAACTCACTTATGTGCCCTCTCTTCATGATGTAGCAATGTAAAATAAAAGGGTTTACATAGCTAGCTGGGTTTTTTAGCATGTCATAATGCAGTTTATGGCCATATCACCCTGAGCACACGCAATCATGTTTGATCTCGGACGCCAAGCAGGGTCAAGCCTGGTTAGTACTTGTATCGGAGCATCTAATTATGCAGGTCATGCAGAGTGAACAGGAGTGAATGTACTTAAATTGTGCATTAAAATGTTTCACACACAAAATCTGGGATTTATCCATCATTTCTTGCTTCAATTTGTCCCTTTTACATGTTCCTGTTTTTAAAACAGACAGTTGTTTTTATGTCTGGTGAACAAAATGTGCCCCTCCACCCAGTAATATTAAAGAGTCTACACTGAGTCTATATTGGAAGCCATTACATTTCTCTATCAAATGAAAAACTTTAAACACCTTGCGCTCTTCTGTAAGAGAAAACACATTACATACTCTGGCTAATAGTCCTGTAATGCTTTGTCATTCATTACCTTGATATTTGTCATTTGCATTGACCCAGTTCATTTTTTTGTGCATCTTTCTTCATCAGGCCAGCCCTGCGAGCAGAAGCGTGAAAACAGAGCCAGAGGAAGCTACAGCCTGTCAGGTGAGCTTCTGGACTGTTTCATGTGAAGAACAACCACATCCGACAAAGGTTCCTGCCTGAGCCCACGTGCAGAACTATTTTTTTTTACATCTTGGTTTTTTTTTTTTTAGTTTCTTTAATGAAGTCATGCAAAATTTTATTTTCATACTATGAAACACTTGATGGACCGTAGCCGCAGTGATGGTCTTGGAGCAATACTGACCTTTAAGGTCACTCTTTAAGGTGACTGATAAATATTTAGGATAGGTCAAATGCCGAGTCAGCGTATGAAGACACGGTACCTTACCTGTTATCTTAAATGTGTAGAACTGGGATCTGTTGATGTCTTCTGTCAACAGACAAGACATTATGCCATAAACAGTGAATTGAGTTTCATTAATATTCAAATTATTTTGAATAAGCATAATTTTTTTCCATCTGTTTTTCTGTTGTTTTGTGAAACTTCATAGACTCCTATACCCAGTCCAGTTAAAAAAAAACAAAAAAACAAGAAGAATAATGGCTTTTAAAATGTTGTTTATGAACAAAATGCATTACATTTTGTTTTTGGTACATTAGCAGCCTCTAACGTCCATTTCTCCACTCTGATTTCCTGCAGGAACCACATAAACATCAGTTCAGAGTGAAATTCAGTCCGAATGACACATACACCATTGGCTGTGTTGTACCCCGCACAGTGCTGGAGGCCATAAAATCTTCAAATAAGTATAAGAAGATGGTTAAGGGTGCAGATGTAAATGTTATCATTCAGATGGGTACAGGAGACGACGAATCAATTGTTCCAACACATTTCCCGTGTTCTTGTGTTGGGGATCATGAGGTTCTGACCATTTCATGTAAATCAGAAAAGGTGGAAGTGGCTCAGGTCCAGGATTCCAACGTAGTATATCCAAGAGATGCCTATTCTGTCTTTTACATTGATACAAAGGGAGGACTAAATGCCAAAAAAAAACAACTTTTTAAAAGTGGCACTTTAAAACAGTTCAAGTATCTCTGTGTTTACGGAGAGAAGGGGATAACTGTGGCGGAGGCTCTAAAAAGAGATGGCCGCTTCACTGATGACCTGGGCTACTTTGAGCTGGTCAACATCAATGACAAATGTAAGACTGAGTGCACAGACGAAATTGATAATCTGGATAAAAAGAAGTTTAAGATATGTCTTCCACGAGGAGCAAATATGGAAACAAAGGATGTAAAACAAGTAGCCATCCCCGGCCAACAGAAACCTCCACATGTATCAAATAATCCACAACGCACAAGAGAAACAAGATCAGTCTTAACTCTTGCACAGCAGAAGGAAATCAGTATAACAACAGCAGCAAAAGAAACAGGCTGCAGCATTGACTCTAAGGAGGTTTATAAGCTACTGCGTAAGCAGTTTCCACGTCTGAAAAAATGGATGGAAAGTAGATTCCCTGAAAATTCTTTCCAGAAAACACTGAGGAAGGAAAACTTTGGAAAGATCCAACAGTCTTTTAGTGAAATTCACCAAGTCAGGTTGCTGCTTGAACTGAGCGAGTCAGTTTGTCTCTTAGAGGTACCCATAAATGATCCCTTCATAATGCAGGGCACAGGCTTTGTGCTATTTGACAACTTTGTCTTGACAAATGCCCACTTATTCAAATACTGGGTTGATTCAAAATTACCTAATTGGCATGAAGATGTAAACATTACTGCTGTCTTTAACTTTGAAAAACAAGACTCTGACAAGAACAAGATTAATGCCAAGGTGTTTGTTGGCAACGATAAGTTAGATTATGCCATACTTAAGCTAGAAACAGAGAGTCAGGTTCCACCAGGGCTCCTCAAGAGATTTGGACCTGTACCTTTAGATGGTGCAGCCTGTGTTGTTGGACACCCAGGAGAAGGAGTGAAAAAAACGGATCCTACGTGTATCATTGTGAAAGAGGGACGAGAGGAGGCTGTTAATAAAAATTTAGAGGACATCAAGGAATACTTCATCACTCTTTATGCAATCAATCAGGCGATCAAAAATGACCCTTGTGAAAATATCTATGTGACCTACAACTCTTTCATGTATCACGGCTATTCTGGTTCCCCAGTATTTGATGCATATGGACAAGTGTTTGGTTTGCACACTGGTGGATTTTTCTATGGATTTCCAAAGACTGAACAGAGTGTGATTGAGTTTTCCTTTCCTCTGCTCACTATATTTGAAAACTTTGTGGATAATGTGAAGAAAGAGGGGAATAAGAATCTGTTCAAAAGAGTTGAGGAGGAGGCAAAGGGAAATCCACACCTAGAAAACATTATTGCGTCTGTTGTGGGGTCAAAGCAAGACAGACCTGAGGAGCTGTTGCAGGGTGTTCAGGGTAATACAGCAGATTCTGAGGAGGGAATGGAGTTGATTTGAACTCTTATTTTTAATTCTGTTTAGCTTTTAGTATCAGTTATTATTATTATTATTACTATTACATAGGTGGTGAGTACTCTGTTAGACATCTAAAGTCTTGATAACCTTTTGTTTTCATGCCTATTTTTATTTTTTTTTATGAATTTTACTTTCTTATAATAATCTTAAGACAGAATCAATAAATGTACCTTTGTCATCATAGCAAATTGAAATGGTAAGCTTTTTGCTTTTATGACCCTTTAAGATTATTTGAGTGGCTGTGAGCATGTTGGTTTTTTAAAAAAAAATTTTATTGCTCAGCTACTGTAATGAAAAACGTTTTTTCTGCTTTTTTGGCCTTACTGTAGATGTTTAAGATGCTGTAATCCTTAATGCTTGTAACGTGACTGAATGTATTCAAGTGAAGTTAGACTTTAATATTCTGTTTTGATGTCGGACAATATTCATTATTTGTTACGTTTGCTTTCATTTGGAAATTGAATTGAAATTGAATGTTTTTGTAAAGATTTTGGTTGTTAATAAATGAGAAGTGAAGCAACACAGGGTGTAAAACAGTTCCACTCTCTATCTTAAAATGTTTCCTGTCAATAATTTTGTCAGTTAATTTTTACCTTTTAAACATTTGAAGTTTTCAATTGTTGGGAAAATTCTAGATTATCCTTAAATTTAGATTTATGCGTTTAGAATCTCACTGTAGGATTTGGTATAACCTTTGTTTGCTTAGATGAGATGCTTAGGAGTGTGTGTGTGTCAGTATGACTTCGTAAAGAACTGCTTAGATAGGCCTAATGATGTTTTGCTATGTTATCTGCTAACTGTTAGGGTGTGGAAGGACAAAATTCCCAAGATGACTGGTGCCAGGAGCTTCCTGGGAAACGATAGTGGGAGTTGCTCTCTGCCACAGCCTGTGGGAAAGAAACCTGTTGTAACTAAAAGATACAGAGAGTTGTGTGTGGGGAGGAGATATAAAATAGGAGCTGAGACATCCCAAGGGCAGAGCTGGCATGAATTTGAACTGTGATGTTTGATGTGTGTGCGCAGGCTCTCCTGCGCAATAATAAATGGTTTGATCACAGCTCTTTCCGTGTTGCAGACTTTATTTACAAAATTCCACGAGTGTGGGCACTGAGGAACGACCCCAAAGACGGCTGATCACCCAGAGGAAAAAAGTCAATGCTCAGTCTCACCAAAACTTCAAAAAGGGGGAGTTGTGGGGCAAGTCCTCAGTGACACACAGAGATCATCCTATAGAACTAGGGGAGAATCTGCACGGGTGAGCTGTGTCCAACCTACAGTGGGGCAAAAAAGTATTTGCTGCGGGCCAAATTTGGCCCGCGGGCCAGAGTTTGACACCTATGCTCTAATGGGCCCTCTACTCCCTGGATATTGTAAATAACTACAGTGGGGCAAAAAAGTATTTAGTCAGCGACCGATTGTGCAAGTTCCCCCACCTAAAATGATGACAGAGGTCAGTAATTTGCACCAGAGGTACACTTCAACTGTGAGAGACAGAATGTG